GTTGATTAAGAACGTAAATGAAGAAACTGAAAGGAAACGATACAAGATCAGCTTGTCTCCCAAAAAACCCAGCCAAGTCCCAAGTTCTGCCTAGGGGTGGACCGGTTCCGGTTTGGGCCCGGCCGGGCCTCGGTTCAAGAAGGGGAGGCCCGGAACCGGCCCGGGTAACCCCCGGGTCCGGGCCGGGCCGGGCCTCGGTTCTTTTTTTTTTGGCTTTTCCTACTTAACCCCCAACCCTCCCCCACACCCCCAAACCAACCCTAACCACCTCAAATGGCCCAAAATGCCCAGCCCAACCCAAAAACTTAAAAAAAATTCAAAAAAAAAAAAACAATTGGCCCGGCCCGGGCCCCAACCGGCCGGGCGGGTTCACCTTTTGAAGGGCCCGAGCCCGAACCGCCATCCCACCGGGCCGGTTGGCCCGAACCGGGCCCGGAACCGGTTCACCGGTCCGGTCCGGGCCCGCACAGTAGCGAGCCGGTCCGATTCCGGGCCGGTTGGCCCGGCCCGAGTCCACCCCTAGTTCTGCCTACCTCTTATTCCTTACTTAGCTTTTATTTATAATATTTTCCTTGCTGGACCCCCTAAAACATAATAACAAGTTAACAACTATGTAACATTATTATTATCATTATTACTCCCTCCGGTTCTGAAAGATCTTTACACTTTCCATTTTTAGCAGTACCATAAAGATCTTTACACTTCCTTATTTGCCTTATTTGGCAAATAAATCTACACAAAACAGTGCCAAACAGTGCCAAACAGTGCCAAGCAGTGTTTATTTCCTTAAAAACTGTGAAGTCAAAGTGTCAAGATCTTTTGGAACCGGAGAGAGTATTACTATTAGTATTAGTATTCTTATTATTACTATTATTCTCTTTAGCCCAATATCCTATCACATTACAAAACATTAATATATGAATTCTAGTAGTTCACCAATAATTTTTATGATTTTTGCAGAAATTTCAGGAACATGAATATAAATTGAACATGTATTGATATTCTTAGTATGGAATTTTCTAGCAGCTGCACATAATTTTTTCAAAAATTGTTTTGTATAAATTGAGTTTCCAGCGGTTGTCGAAATGGTATGCTCTGCTGTGAATTTCCATAAATTCCAACCCTTTTTAACGGATGCAGTGTTGATATTAATTTAAGGAAAAAAAAGTTCCTAATTTTAAATTAAAGGTTAATAATAATACAATTATTTTTTGAGATTTTGAGATTCAACATTATCATTTAGAATAAAGAAAGTAAACACATAATATATATTCAACACTTCTTCTGGACAGAAGGGTAAATTGGTCAATTAAAGAATTCAGTCTGCTCATTCAACATACAAATTAAACGTGTTATCTCAGTGTCACTTAATCTAGACAGACGTCTTAATACACACAGACAACTTAATCCATACAGGACTTAATGAAAAAAAAGTAAACAGCCGCTCCCCTAAGTGCGGCTGGAGACCAGCGACAAATAAAGCAATATGATGTGTGGGCTGTATTCCTGAAGTTCTTGTTAAGACCTTCTGAAATTGGGCACAATACTCATCAACTGTTCTGATATGGATCAGAAGTTTCAGATCTTCAATTGGGTTAGAACTCAAATGGGGCCCAAAGCGCTCCAGACAGAGTTCTTTAAACCTCTCCCAGTTGGCTTCTACTTCTTCCTCAATCATTTGATTGAACCACAATTGTGCATTGTCTATCAAGTGGAATGAGACAACATTCACCTTTGCAACACTAGGAGTTTCTTATTTCAAGAAGATCTTTTCGCACCTTTCAACCAACTGATAGGGCCGGAGGTGCCATCAAGCACATGAAATTCCATCATCGCATACTGTGGCTTGCAGGAGTTCCTGGCTCCGTGTGATTGATGGTCATTCATCAGGCTGTTATCCGCTTACTCTTCATGCGTTTCTGTTGTCTTTGGATCCCGTTTGTGGACTGCCAGAGATAGAGCTGCTATCTGCCTTTCTATGACAGTTGTCCTAGCAGTCATAGTCTCCATAAATTCCTTCATCATGGTGGCTAAATCATCATCCTGTGGCGCCATGGATCGTGACGACTCTGATACCAAATTGTTAGCAATTTGTGATTGAGAACGGGTCCAGGGTGCCCGGGTAAGGTCGGAACCTGCCGGCTAGGGTTACTTCTTGTCTTGCCCGTGGCTGGAAGAGTGCAGAAAAACTCCGTGACTTCTCTGGGAATATTTTTCTATCAATGGATCGTTTATTATTGCTGAAGACAAATATAAATAGGCATCCTGCCTTCACATGATAAAGTTCTAATCTAACTAAAACTCTAAACTGTAAACTCTGAAATATTAGGAAATATTAAATTAAATATAAAGATAACATCAGACTAGACTCCTCTAATTAAATGTCTTGCTGGCCCATATGTTTCCTCCTACGATATGGAATCCCATAAAATGCATCTGTAACAAATTGGTGTACTGATAGACAACAGCAATTCCGACACTCCACACAATATAATCAGTAGCAAGTATAGAGAAACAAGATCAGAAGAGAGTTTATTGACGTAGACGAAGAAGTACAGAACGTAAGCACTGGACGATTCGAGATGCCCAATCTCCCAAGTCTAATTCCAACCTAATGACAGACTACCATTCTTAGACTCCAGACTTCTATTTATAGTATTTCTATTTATAATACAAGCCCACTTATTATTATCTATAATAATAGGCCCATTTAATATCTATTCCTAACAATACTCCCCCCTAAACAACCACCTTGTCCTCAAGGTGGGTGATAGGAAACAGCCATGATCTTCCATTTCCACTTCATTCTTGCACCTCTCCCCTCCCAGTATTTGACTGATTGCTGGACTAGGAACTTCAGTACCAAATCTTTTGATATCACAAACATTTCAACAGCAGAAAAGATATCTAATGAAGTTCCGTACGCTTCAGCAAGTATTCCAATATTGACAATCTTCAGCAAGTTCTGCCAATGAGCTCCATTCGGGGCATCCTTTGCATAAAGGATATACAGGTTGACTGCATTCTTTTGCTCTTGTCTATGAGCTTTTTCTTCAGCCTCTTTTGAGTTATGGAATGGTTGAATAGAAAACTGCCCATCAACACGAACATAGCTTATTCTTTTCTCAGAAACAAACTGCTGCACTCCATCAAGATCTTAGGATGGACTATGATTTCTACCCCTTCTTCACAGCTCCCTAGTGCAGTCTCACCATCCTCTAACTGCTTTTCAGATTTCAGGTTACTGAGATATATTTCCCATTCATCATCTCTTGTACTCAGAAGTAATATCATATAATGGCTATTCACCTCCATGAACTCTTGAATTTGTCTCCTTTTCATCCCGTTTGACATTGCCATCAATGTCAAGTCCCAATTTCGTACTTCCTCTCCTATCCATGCCAGAACCATTTAGAGTAGGGACTTCATAAATAAGAATTTTGATATTTCCTGAATTCATAATCTCCTTACTTAATGTAGTCATATGAGCCTCCAATGCACCAGAAATATGCAAGAATTTATTCTTAACAGTGAGATGCCCATCTAACTTCCTCTTTGGTGCAACATGATAGCTTGAATTTGATTCAGAGTTCTGATCTAATCCACAATCAGACTCGGAAGTAAACCCTTGCAAGCCATTGTAGAACCGAACAACACAACCATGTTTTTCAATCTTAGGTATCCATCTTTGTTTGATTAGTTCCTCAGTAGCATTAGTGTCTGCGCTGATGATTCCCTGAAGCTTCTTTCCAACATTTCCCTGTTCTATTTCCTCAGTTTCCTCGATGTGGGCAGTCCCTGTAGAGCTTTCCCAAGTGTTTGAACCAGCAAATTTATCAACTACCGATTCATAGTCTACGGAGATAGAGGATTGAGTCACCACCGCTGATTTCTCCTCTTTATTGACTAGAGAGCTCTATCTCTCTTCTGGTTCGGCTTTGTCCTTGATTCCCGAATACCTCATCTTTGTTAGGTATCGTCTGAGAATTGAAAAGTTCACTTCTCGAAGGCTTCGTACTTTGACCCAAACTGAGATAGTCAGCTTGCGACAAAGCCGGGGAACTGGGGAAAGTTGCTTGTGACTTAGACAAAACTTGTGAATTGAAACCTCCTGTCAATCTTGTTTCACTTGGAGAAGAAGAAGTTTGCGAGTGTGATTGCGAAGACTTCTGCGAACTTATGAAGAATTCCGATGATGGACTGTAAGAACAAACAGTAGTTCTTGGCGAAGATTCTTGCAAACTGGAATGATACATGTGTGTCGAACTGTGCGATCTATGAGAAGTTGTACGCGAAGGGGCCGGTGAATTGCGGACATCTGTTCGCGGCTGAGAATAGCCTTGCGCACGCGATGAGGTCTGCGAATTAAGCAAAACTGTTCGCGATCTTCTTCTTGCCTTATCCAATGTTCTTCCATAGCAGCTAGCCGTCTCTCGATGTTATCCAGCTTTGACTTCACCTCCTGCTGATCCCGCTCCATCGAATCCATGCGCTTATCCATTTTACCTCTAGCTCTAACCATCCACCTTCGAATGAAAAAAAATTCTGGATTCAGATACTTCTCCGATCATTCCTGAAGGCGCCAGGAGCTTAATGCTCTGATACTAATGATAGACAACAGCAATTCCGACACTCCACACAATATAATCAGTAGCAAGTATAGAGAAACAAGATCAGAAGAGAGTTTATTGACGTAGACGAAGAAGTACAGAACGTATACAAGCACCGGACGATTCGAGATGCCCAATCTCCAAAGTCTAATTCCAACCTAATGACAGACTACCATTCTTAGACTCCAGACTTCTATTTATAGTATTTCTATTTATAATACAAGCCCACTTCTTATTATCTACAATAATAGGCCCATTTAATATCTATTCCTAACATGTACTAAAAAAGAAATTCACCCTTCTTTTTCTCAATTCCATTTGCAGTGATATCTAGATAACCTATAAACTAATTATAAAATATAAAATATATTGAATAATTCTCACTTTCAGAGAAGAAGTACTTTAAGGAACTTACTGAGCTATTGAATTATCAAGTGCGGGAGATGAAATCAATGAGCAGTGCAATACAGAAGTTGGAAGGTATGTCAATAATTTTTTCCTGGGCATAAAAATTTGCTCTTGTAGATGTACATACTAAGGTTTTAATTTTCAAAACATAAGACCTATATAATACGTAGTATGTAAAAAAGAAGAAGAATTGACTCCATGTTTTCTAATGACTCTTTTTGGTAACCATATCTGACTGCTCTTATTATCACTAGAATAAGTAGGTTTTGACTTGAAGCCTGTTTGGTGTGGCCTAAAAAGTAAAATGCTTGAAGCTATTGAGCGTATATAGTTTTCCAAAGATGTGGCTGAATTGGTTGAATCTACTGAATTATCTAAAAGAATCATGTAAATGTGTTTCTTAAATAAAATAATGAAGATAGTATAAAAATGAAGGTAGAAATGTTATCTTCTTCAACTTTAGTGGCATCAGTAAAAATTTAACCTATACACTATTTTTTTTCATATTAGCTGATTTAGCTAGCCTAATGCAATTAGTTGATGTTTGGTGAAGAATTCGGCTCATAAGGGCGATAAGCTGAAAAAGGAGTCACCAAATGGGCTCTTGTTTGACTGAATTAGATGTTATAAAACACTCTCCTTTGCGAAAATTCAGCAAATTCAGTTAAATATCAGCCAAATAATTCTTACTAAACAGGCTCTACCTGTTTTGTCAGGACCGAATAATGAATCCGGAAGACCAGCATTCTCAGAACAAGATTCTCGAAAAAATTTGCAATCTAATTCACAGGTAAGCCAGTTAGCATAATGATACACCACCCCTCCAAAGAAAAAAAGGAAAAAGAAATACGTTGATGTTGATGGCTCTTCTCTCTATCAATACTATTTAGTGAATTTTTCCAGCAATTCTATGCAAATGGCAAAGTGGACACTGGTGCACACTCAGGTTCTAATTACATCAACATGCTTAATGTATATGGATTTCTTTCAAATTTATATTTCTATTTCAAATTTACATCAACTGAAATTCCCCTGCAGTAAGAGCTTTATCATCACCTGCATCTGTGGAAACTTCTGGCCCTCCACATCCAAAATCCTACATGGAGGTATGTCAACAATTGCACTAGTGAAAATGAAAATACAATATGCAGTTCAGTTCATTCAGTCATACCAAATCGGACTGAAACCAAGCCCGTTCAGAACGCGTCTAACCATATGCAGTTCAGTTCGCAGTTCAAGGTTTAGAATGTGATAAGTGATAACAGAACTGGCCAGAATGACAAAACCGAACCGAACCAAAACCTACTTAAGTTTGCTGGTCTGGTTTCTGGTCTTGCATTTTTCAAAACCGAACCTACTTAAACCAAAACTGACTGACAAACATTCCTAGAATGTCATTGTTCATTCATATCTCCTTGTAACTGTGACTATTAGCTAGAGAATTTGGAATGTTTCTAGTTGGCTTCAGCAGCAAGATAAGTCCATATCTAGATTCCTTCAGTAGAGGTTAAAGGTAAAAGAAAATATCCACAAGCTGATGCTTAAGTTTGCTGGCTGATTGGTTGCTTGATTCACTACTATAACTCATGGTGGCCAAGTGGTTCTCCAAATTACCAGATAACCGTTTCAGACCAAAGTTCAAACCGTTTTTCTTTTTTTCCATCATTTCCAATGGAGTCAAAGACTCACTATTTTTTGGCTTGAGAATATGATGAAATAAAGCAAAATGGCTCACTAAACTCTCCGCGCTGCCTTGTTATGAAGCACCGGTCAGTCCATGCAATTTTCAACGCGATTTTCATCGTGGGTCATCGGGAAACAACCTCTGTGCTTTAGTACAGGGGTAAGGCTGCGTACATCCGACCCCCCTTAACGCACCATAGGTGGGAGCCTTTGTGACACTGGGGTAATGTTGTTGTTGTAGTTATTTACTAGATTTGTTCTTAACTAACAGCTACTCGAGAAACAAAGTTGTGCTCAAATAAGTGTCATTTCTGAATATCCAGAGAGTATTAATTGTTTACTTTCCACACTTGTCCTTCTCCATCTTAATGAATTGATGACGAGTATTCTAGTCATATTATAGTATCTTTATCGTATTTTTTAGAACAAACTATAGATACATTGATAGGTGCATAAAAATCTTAAAATTAGGAAATCAGAAAGTGACATTTATTTGAGAATAGAGGGAGTAGAATGCATTGGTAGCACAATGATTAATTTTTTTTCCATGGCATGACCTGACTAGGAGTTATATTATACTATCAGTGTATGTGCATAATAAGTTCTAATTTTAATACTGTTGAACAGATAATGGAAATGGTTAAGAGAGGGGAGAAACCTCCGAACATTAGAGTAAGTTGAGACAGCTTCGCCTTCATTATTTGAAATTGTTGTTTTTTGGATAATAACTATTTTATGATTCATTTGATGTTTCAGGACATAAATGACCAACCACCGAATCCATATCAACCCGTGCCAGAACCTGCACTGGCACTGAAGCCTAAGGTTTTTTCCCAATCCTTACCTTTTATTGGCTTCATCTGATTGCAGGAAATTAATCTCTGTGAAATGTTTTCCATGAAAATAAGTTGTTCTTGTAGGAATATTTTTGCAACTTGGAAAATGGTAGGTAGGAGAAAAACTGCTACGGATTTTTTTAATGCTTAGTTTCTACCCTGGAAAAACAAATTTGATCAAAGCTTTTTAAAATTTTACACATCTCTAGACTTTTTACTGTTTATATAGATGCAAAATAAAAAGAGTTTGAACATTGAACAAATATAGAAAATTGATTTATTGAGTTTGAACCTTTTTTTATATAGTTCTCCTCTACATTTTCTTTCCTTCCAATATTACCTTCCATTTCTCTCAATCCTTTCTTTAGCATTTTTTGACTTCCAAACTGGCCCTAAACTGTGAGGAAAATGAATTCATCTATTCAAACCCACGCTATATTCCACAAAAACAATAAAAGCATTTCCTTGAAGAAGTGCTTCCGGTGCCAAACACAAGTCTGGAGTGATACAAACGTTCAATAGAATCAATACTTATATTTTTCGTGAAGGAAAATGTTTTATCTTAAAAAGTAATCTCTTGGAAACAAAATTTCATACAAAAACCAAAAAATAAAAATCACTTCAAGAAGGAATCCGTGTATCATTGCTGATGACACTAAAGTCGTTCTATGCCTCAAAATAAATATAATACTTGCACTAATTCCGTAGTATAACGTAGTAAGGTTCGTATCAACAGGGAAATGAATACTTCTCTTTAATAGAACTAGTGACAAAGTTTTTTTTTTAAGGTTGTTGTGGAACTTGAAATATAGATTCATCAACAATCAAGATTGATTGTTGACGGTGGTTTGTCTAGTGCTTCCTCAACAATCAAGATAGATTCATTTTTTTCTTTAAATGGAGAGTGATTTTTAATAGAATTATAAATGTTATATTCTATTTTTCTTCCATCAAATTCCATAGTTAAAAGCTTGCTAGAAACATCAATTTTTGAATTAACGGTTTTTAAAAATGGTCACCCCAATAAAATAGGGACTTCGTGTTCATCACTTTCCATTTCAAGAACATAAAAATTGGCAGATCGCCTACTGAAACAAGTACATCTTTCACTACCCTTTTTGAAGAAACCCTTAATCTATCGGTCAGTTGGATTATGACACCGGTTTCATTCAAAGGGCCAGGGTTCAAAAAATTATAAAGAGTATAAGGGATCACGTTAATTGATGCCCCTAAATCTAACATGGCCCTAGAATTGGTGTCCCCTGGTTTGCAAGGTATATTGAACATGCCTGGATCAATGCATTTTTTTGGAAGTTTCTTTTGAAACACTGCCGAGACATGTTCACTAATTTCAATTTTCTGCTTTCCCTTTAAGCAGTGTGTCCTCTTGATTGTGCATAATTCTTTTAAAATTTAGCGAATTAAGGGACACATTTAATTAAGTTAAGGAGTGAAATATATACCTCACACTTGACGAAGGTCTCATAAATATATGCATTTCTCTCCAGCTTCCTTATTTCTTTGAGGGCTTCAGGGAATGATGGGAGTAGTTCGTATGATGACAATGGTGGGAATTTGGCCTTTGTGGTCTTTTCCTCGGGTACATCTTCAAGGTCAAAATTCACACGTCTAGGGTTTTGCTCCGTTTGAGACGGGAGTTTACCCGAGTCTTTTGCCTCAAGTCGGCTCACGTCATTCGAAATTTGGCTAATTTGAGTTTCCAAATTTTGAATGCTTACTTTGTCTCATGTTGAAATTGTATCATGGTTTGTTGAAATTGTTTCATGTTTTGTTGCATGGTAATCATGTTTGAGGTCAAAGTTCGGATCATATCATCAGTGACATACTAGATTGAGAATTTGAGCCTTGGGTGTTGAAAGATGGTTGTTGAAAAGAAGGGTTAGATTGTTGAGGGTTCCCATATCTCAAAATTGGATGATCCCTCAATCCCGGGCTGTCAGAATCTGAGAAAGGATCGCACCTCTTTTGTTGATGTCTTTCACTTCTTGAGTTTTTTGAACCCAAGATAATCTCCTTCATGAGTGATGTCAAGCTTGCAACTTGATTTTCCAAAGTAGATGCGCTAGATTCTGCCACAAGAACTCTTCGAGTTGATGACATGCGGTCCAATTGCCGTGAGTTCTTAACCAACTCTGAGATCAAACTCGTTGCTTGTGAGGAAGTTTTGTTAACAATGCCGCCTCCACAAGCGACATTTACCATTCTTCTATCATCATCAACAAGACGATCATAAAAGTAGAGTATGAGGTCTTGCTCCGTGTATCCTTGGTATGGGCAACTAGCACACAACTTTTTGAATCGCTCCCAATATTCATATAATGATCCATCATCTTTTTGATCAATATTGCTTATTATTTTCCAAAGATGATGAGACGGAGGCGGGGTAGTACCTTTCTAGGAAGCACTTTTTCATTGCCGTTCATGTATCTATACTCCCCGAAAAGAGATAGAATAGTCAACCCTTAGTCGTGTCCTTCAGTGAGAATGGAAAGACTCTTAGCTTGATCTGTTCTTCAGTAACATTATGCGGTTTCATACTAGTGCAAACTATATGAAACACCGAAAGATGCTTGTTTGGGACCTCACCTCGTAGACCATGGAAGGGAGTAGATGAATGAGGACTGATTTCAATTCAAACGTAACACCCTCATTTAGAGTACGGAATGTGATACACAAAGGTTGTTTATTTAGGTTTGGAGGTGTGAGCTCCCTCAAGGTTCTTGTTTCGAGAGCCGTGTGAATAGACTCTTCGGATTCGCTAGAGCTAGAGCTAGAGTTTGATGATTCCTCCAAGGATGTATGTGGAAATAAAGTTCGCAACCTCTCGAAAGCCTGTTCTATTTCGGGGTTTGTTTGGTATGTGAGTAGGTTTATAGAACGAGTTTATACCATATACTCAACAAATCTCAGAAAATAGAAAAACAAGAACTCTTTATATTTTTATTAATTATTTTTTATTATGATTTTTATATAAATAAAATAAAAGAATGATTATTGCCTTTCCCCGACAACGGCGTCAAATTTGACGGCACTGAAGTTGTTGTGTGCCTCAAAATAAATACGATACTTGGACTAATACCATGTTATAACGTAGTAAGGTTCGTATCCACATGGAAAAGAATACTTCTCTTTTATAGAATTAGTGACAAAGGGGGATTTTAAGGTTGTTGTTGAACTTGAAGTATATTAAACACTAAGTTGAACGACTTATGTGGTCTAATTAATTAGATATGGAGACTTGGTTTTGCTTATATCCACTTAATGAAATGATTGTTGATTCCGGTTGTATCTTTAACTATCTTCCTCTCGAATACTCAATCGTGGAGTATCTTCAATTCATCGAGTGTAGTTATTAATAACGAGACGCATTCATTAATAAAACTTACTATCAACTCAATATAGAACACGCGCCGTATATTTACCCGATAGTAACAATAAAACTTAAGATGGAATTGATTGAGATTGATAACCTCAACACATACGGTTTATTGATTTAATCAATATAATTAATTCCTCTTAGATTATTAACCATGAGATATGCATTAATAATTCAAGTTTATTACTGTGAAAGGACTGAACGATTAACAAACGTATTCTTTGATCGATTCTAGTAATAATTAATATTAATATATGAAACAAAACTAGTTGATCCAAGTAATGCTCAAAATGTTAATATGGGATATAAAATAGGAATGTAATTAATATTCAAGGAAGATGATTAAAGAAAATAACTCACAACTTACAAATCAATAAACTTCAATGTAACAAAACCAAGATGAAAGGGTTTGGCTCCTCATTTGGAAACTAAACATACTTAAAAATATAAAGGAAATACTTGTCTAAACTGAGCTTAGAGGTATACGTGAATTGGTGAATTTATTGGGAAGGAAAATGGTGTATTTATAGGATTTTTCGAGTGACAGGGTCTTATACCCGATCGAGTATATAGGATACCTGGTCGGGTATCTGAGGGATTCTGAGGTAATTTCCTGGAAAGTCACTTTTCTGGACATACCCGGTCGGGTATGTCGCATATCCGATCGGGTATGAGACAAATCGTCTCAAAATATTGCTCCCACGATCATTTGTTCCCGGATTTGATTTAGACACTCGAATCAAGCAAATACCCGATTGAGTATTTGCCTCCTTGCAATTTCCTTGATCTTTTAAGATCCAATCTTGACGCTGTGGATGATCGTGACCTGTTTTAAGCTCAGAATAATTCTAATCTAAACAAATTACAAATAATTATGAAAATAAAGTATTACTCCAAAAGTGTGTAATTTCCACAACTACAAATAATAAAACTAGTTAAAAATACAAACATACGTAAAAAGAAATTCATTCTATGCTCTCGTTCAGAATGGCATTAGTAGTGGGTTTTGTTTTTCTTCCAACAGCCTTGGGAAGCTGGTCAAAGTCAAAGTCAAAGTCAGAGTCAGATCAGTTTGATTCAGGGGGGGAATGCCAATTTCTCGAATTCTGGTTTCCAAGACAATTATCAGTTGAATAATGGAGGAGGCAGTTCAACAACTCCTTGGTGGCAACACAAAAGCATTAAAATCACCGAAATTGAACCCGAATATGAACAGAAGAAGTACGATTCCTCAGGTTTGCCGACCAACAATGAAAGAACCGCCCCTCGCTCATGGGTCCCTCCCCAACCACCTCCCGTTTCCATGGCCGAAGCAGCAGCTGCCATCCGGCAACCTAAAAAATCTTCACTACATAAAGATCTGATCAGCAATGATGATCAGTTACAGGGGGGTGTCTCTGAAGTTTCTGATGAGTTGCAGATGGCTACGAAGATAGCTGAATCAGGCGGCGGCAACGTTGGAGAAGGCAATGGGGGTTTCACTTCAGGTGACAGTGTGAATCAGACAACATTAGTGAATGATGATACAGTGTGTGACAACCTTGGAATGAATTTCTAGAATCATTTAGTTATTTATTTGGCTTTATTTCTTTTCCTATGGACCTGGCGCCTTCATTTAATTCTGTTTGTCTTCTAAGAGTATATACTTCTTAGTCTGCATGATATGTTATATATATAATGTAAAAGTTCAGTACCGTTGAAGTTTATTTTTGCCACCCTGAACTCGTGTTTACTTAAGATGTTTTCTGTTCTCATTAAAAAGACAAATCCCAATTTATCAGGCCTGTGTTACTTTGTTTTATTTTAATTTATTGAGAAAAATGTTTTTACGAACGTTTATTGTGTGTTTGGAAGTGGAAACTAGTTTTCGAAATTCTACAGTGATGGTGGGTTTTGGTGTGATATAGGGTGGACCCTATCAGGGGTATTCGCCTATTCATTAGGAGTGGACTCGGGCCGGGCCAACCGGTCCGGAACCGGACCGGCCCGCTACTGTGCGGGCCCTGGACCGGCCTGGTGAACCGGTTGGTGCCCGGTTCGGGCCACCCGGCCCGGTGAGGTAGGTGGTTCGGGCCTGCTAAATAGTGAACCGGCCGGTCCGGGCCCGGTCCGGGCCAATTTTTTTTTCTTTTTTTTGATTTTTTTTAAGTTTTTGGGTTGGGCTGGGTATGATGGGCCATTTGAGGTGGTTTGGGGTGGTTTGGGGGTGAGGGGGGAGGGTTGGGGGTTAATTAGGAAAAACCAAAAAAAAAATAAAATTACATGAACCAAGGCCCGGCCCGGCCCGGACCCGTGGGTTACCCGGGTTGGTTCCGGGCCTCCCCTTTCATGAATCGAGGCCCGGCCGGGCCCGAACTGGAACCGGTCCATCCCTACTATTCATCAAGTTAATGTATTCCATACTTTCATAGTGTGCACGTGTGTTTCATATACTCCTAACTCCCTCCATCTCTTATAACTTTGTCAAGTTTGATTTGTACAGAGGACAGAGAATTAAGTGGAATCACAAATTCTTTATTTAAAATGTAAAGTGGGACATCCAGAAAAGGAAAGTTGATAAAGTTTTAAGGGATGAAGGGAGTATATGTTTTGAAAATTTATAAAATATGAGTACTGAGTAGTCGTACTATCTTTTTTACAAATTTTACAAACTAGTCATGTATCTATATTTTAATACTCCGTACCTTATATAATATCTTTATTTTTATATAATATAAATTAACAGAGTTTGGGCAACTATTGGAGAGTAAAATCCCGCCCAAAATCAGGGCAAAATTGGGAATTAATGAGAAAAATAAAATTGATAATTAATGGTGGTAATCAATTATTTTCCTTACGATACATATATACTATGTTTGGAAATTGGAACAACAAAGGTAAATACTAAAGCAAAATCACGCCCAAAGTCAAAGGTACGATAAAACTATTTATGAAGACTATCTAACATAATTGACGTATTCCTAAATGCAAATTATTCTGAAACTTTATACTCCGTAGTTAATAAGAGTCGTAAGAGTAAAACGTAGGTTATTACATGTCAAATTAAAAGTTACCATACATGCTATTAATGGAAAGAGTAAAAATGTACTGATAATATCATGATACGTGTTATTGGTGGAAATACTGAGATTATCAAAAAATTGATGGAAATACTGAGTGTAATTATAATATGGTGATATGCTCTATTACAATTGGTAACTACACGTAATAATTGTATAAATTGATTAACTCTTTACAATGTAATTAAAATTAACTCAGTATTATTCCATAATATATTCTTTAATTAATTTGATATATGTATCCAGTAATAATGTACTGAAATTGCCATTGTTAATGTTCCTAGCAATAATAGTCCAGTAATAATGTACTAAGGAAGAAAGCTAACTATTCGAAAAGTGGATACTAATTCAATGCTATATTAGCATGTTTTTTTGGATTGTTTTAAGTCCTAAATCAAATCAGACCATAGTTAAATATATCAGACCAAATCAGACTTAAACAGATCAGATCAAATCAGACCATATCAAATTTGGACAGCTATAAAATTCACAGAGACCAGACATTTATCAGACCAGACCAGACCATATCAGAGTCAAACATACCAGACCAGACCAAATTAGACCAGACAAGACCAACAAATTTCAGTCCAAGAAAAGTCAATTTGACCAATCTTTTTGGGACGGAGGTAGTATTAGAATTGTGTGCATTACTAATTAGCAACTAATAATTATAGCAGTAATTGTAATAAAATTGAAAATTTTTCATTTAATAATAATACTCACTCAGTTCCATTTGTAAGATACTTTTCCTATTCACTTAGTCAACAGAAATCACTTTTAATCTCTTACTTTATATATCAATTTTTTTTTCAAATTTAATTCTGGCTTTTGCGACTTTGTAAAGCTTTTAATGTAGTTTCTGAATATGTAATTTTTTTTTTCTAAAAATAATTTGAGTGTGGATAGGGATCCATTTGCTTTATCGTCGGTTAAACATTGTAAAACGTAAAGTATCTTATAATTCAGGACGGAGGGAGTAATAATAATAATGGTAAAAATAGTAGAGTTTTTTTCAGAAAATAATGCTAATTAAATAAATAATTTCTGAAATACAGTTGGGTTAAAAATAATTCCCAAAATACTGCTAAAGTTAACCATGGCTAAGGTCAGCCGCCACTCGAAGTGGCGGTTCTTCTGTCCAACATGCTTCTAACGGTGCAATCAACAAAAACCTGCTAATTACAGTGCATTTAGCTAAAAAACAAACATATGATCTTTATAGTTAATATACATTTCTACAAATTAAAACAAAATACATACGAGACACAAAACGAATCAATGAAACTACATTTGACCACAATACTTGAAATACCACATAAAGTAGATATATTGGTTGATTTGAGAAAGTATTATGTAGCACATTATTAATATGTATTTCTCAAATTTTTTATAGGGCTTTATCCTTCAATATTACTAAATTGAACCCAATTCCCCAAAATGTGACCATTTTTATAAAAGGACAAAAATGTGACTAATAAGGTCACATTTTTTGAACGCATGATGTCACTGTCATTTTTTATGTAACTGTACAATTTTTGTGTCACTGTAAAAAAAATTATGACACTATTATACGTCACTATCTAATTTTTATGTCACTTTTGAATGTCACTTTTCCGTGAAACATGTCACTATGAATGCCGGAAACTTTCCCGGCAACCTTTTCCGGCAAAACTGTACACCACCACCATTGCCACAACCGGCCACTGCGGTTACATGATTTATTATCAACTTTATGTGGTATTTCAAGTATTGTGATCCAATGTAGTTTCATTGATTTGTTTTGCATCTCGGATACATTTTGTTTTTGTAGAAATGTATATTAACTATGTAAAGATCAGATGTTTTTTTTGAGTTGAATGCATTGCAATGAGCAGGTTTTTTGTTTACTTCACTTTTAGAAGTAGGGTTTTTTCGTTTAATCTCAAGAGCCGCCACTTGGAGTGGCGGCTTTTGTACTGGACAGAAAAACGCGACTTCGATTGGTGGATTTTCATAACCGTGATTAACTCCAACAGTATTTTGGGAATTATTTTTAACCCATCCATATTTCGGGAATTATTTATCTAATTAGCATTATTCCAGAAAAAACTCAAAATAGTAATGTATAATTTCCGGGATTTTATTTAAGGCATATTAGAACATTTGTTCACGTTTTCTACTCATATCAAGAAAATGTGATACTCCTTACATATCAATATTGGGTATTTGATGATGTAAAAAATTTGATTTTTAAAACTACACTATCAATAATTCTGTTTGTTGAGTTTAATCCAACACGAATCAGTAATAAAATGTATAAACTGTCTAAATAAATGTATGAACAAGCTATTTAATGTGGTAACCCGAAAGGGAGAAAATCACGTGACTTTTTAGATTAATGTCCAAGCCCTCTCATTCTCATTAGGCTCTCCTTACCATTACATAGTACAAATTTTGAAGCTCCCATTAATGGAGGTTGCTAGCTAATCTATCCTAGAGAGAAGGAGGAGAAAATGGGGGGAAGAAGAAGAGACGATCCAACCCTTTACATGGAGGGAAATCCTCCTATTTATAGGAAAAGGGGAAAGGGGGTAAATTCTACCCTAATGGGCTACAAGGGCCCTAATGGGCCGAAACAAGCCTCAAGGGTCGAGATGGGCTGGACGGGCCGAGATGGGCCTCGTGGATCGGGCCCCGCGTGGGGATGGTGCGTTGGGCTCCTGAACAGTAATTGACAATGATGATATACCTCAACACAAGTCTCCCGGTTTCTTGAGTAGTGAGCGTGTGAATCTGCTCGAGAAAGTATATTCTTGTTCATGATCTTCCATTGTCTTCCTTGAATCTGTTTCTTCGGGTAACCTGGTGCGCCATGTACGTATAAGCGAGATGTGAGGCGCATTCCCTGTATTAGACGAGTCCTAAGCACGCCGCCGCTGAGGAGCCGCTCGTGCTGCATAAAACGGCGGTCGCCATCCCAGAACAAGGATTGACGAGCCAGACTCAGAATCAGACGGGACAACGCTAAGGAGCCGCTCGTACTGCATAAAAACGTCGGCCGCCATCGCAGAACAGGGATCAACGAGTCCGACCAAGAATCAGACACGACGGCGCTGAGGAGCCACTCGTACTGCATAAAACAGCGGTCGCCATCCCAGAACAGCGATCGATGAGCCTGGCCAAGAAAGAGACATGACGCGCCGAGGAACCGCTCGTGCTGCATAAAACGGCGGTCGTCATCCCATAATTTGGGATCGACGAGCCCGACCGAGAACTAGACACGACAGCGCTGGGTAGCCGCTCGTGCTGCATAAAATGGCAGTCGCCATCCCAAAATTGGGATCGACGAGCTCGACTGAGAACTAGACACGACAGCACTGGGGAGCTGCCTGTGCTGCATAAAATGGCAGTCGCCATCCCAAAATTGGGATCAACGAGCCCGATCGAGAACTAGATATGATGACGCTAAGGAGCCGCTTGTGCTGCATAAAACGGAGGTCGCCATCCCAAAATTAGGATCGAAGAGCCCAACTGAGAAGTAGACACGACGACGCTGAGGAGCCGCTCGTGTTGCATAGGATGACCAAGAAAAAAGGAACTCCATGTCCCAGCTCGAACCGAACAATCCAAGATCCCCCCGCCTAGTCAGTTTGGACGGTTCACTCTAGCTATTTGGTCGGGGAAGACTACCATGTTCAGCTAGTCGTCGCGGCACTTGGGAAGTCCGCCTCTGATGCCAATTCTGGTACCCAACTCTGGTAGCTTCTCTG